AAACTGAGGCTTCCCTTGCAGCCAATCTGGTTTCTGATTTAGGTAATCCAAGTAGTTTGTGTCTTCATGTAGAGTTAAAACTGAAAAAGGTTAATCTAAGCCAGAAACAAGATAGCCTTGGTTTTTGGATGGCTCATTTCACTTTGCAAACTTGAGCCTTGCCTACCAGCCTGCTAGATGGAATAAACACTACCAAACCTGATTCAGGTTCCCACCCTGCATATCTGGCACATTCAGATTTCAATGTAACATTAGCTGGTCTCTATGAATGGAGAGGAAAACTGGAGGAAGTCCAACCTGGGCTGGAAGAGAAGAACTGAATGCTGCCACATCACATTGGAGGACGAGCCTCGACCGTAGCCTTAGTTTTCTGTCCTTCTAATGAAGAAAGGTTAGATTTGTTCTACTGTATTGACTTCTATTGTCTAGAAGGCTTTGTAGCGATAAATTACAAAAAAAGGATTAATTTGGAGTCAGAGGAAAATAGTTCTTTAAAGCGGCATAATTTAGATTCACATTCACATTCACATGCATGTTCCTAATACATTACTACTGTATTAAATTAAAATAGCACTGAGCTGGCTACCTGTGGGGAGAAATGTTGGAAGACCAAGACCGACTTGGTGCAGAATGGCTGAGAAGTGAAGGAGTGAGGAGTTGAGATAGAAATGTGGAGAAGAGGCTCGCAAAGTGGCTGTCAGCCGGAGCGAGTGGCGAAAAATCGCTGAAGCCCTATGTGCCACCTAGACACAGATAGGATAGATAATGATGATGGTGATGACATTTAATTACTGCGTCGCTAAACTGCAGCAACAAATAAGAAGAGGACACAAAAGAAGATGAGTCGTTGGCATACCTTTTTTGAATTCTTTGACATGTTAACTTGTGCAGAAGTGGTCTCTGGAAGTGGTTCGTCTCCTGGAGTGGTATTCTCTCTGGAAATGAATATTGGAAGACATTTTAAAATGAAAAAAAAAGAAAGAAAGAAAGAAAGAAAGGAAGGAAGGAAGGAAGGAAGGAAGGAAGGAAGGAAGGAAGGAAGGGAGGAAGGAAGGAAGGAAGGAAGGATCGTTTCCCAAAATTTCTGTTCCCTATCACGTTTTGATCTGTAAGT